CATTTAAACATTACATAAGGACATATTGTAAAATAATAGATAAGGCAAATTGTAAAATCAATTTAGGTGTGGTATACATGTATGGGTGGTTTACCTGTATGGAATACCTATATAGCATAAATAGCATTAGCTTAGGGAAGTTTCCAGTTCAATCTTCCTCTTGAAGATGATCACTTGGTGATCGAAATACCTGTCAAGGTGTTAAAAATAACGATTTCGTGTTGGGAAAAAACTCCAGTAATATTCATTACCTACACACACCAAAGGTTCCATAAATACAGTTTTAGTTATGATTTAACATAATATCGAGAACTTGGTAATTTGTATGGCTAAAACAATATTGAAATTATAATCAACTTTATACAATATTAGGAGTCTAACTTGTCACATTTTTAAGATTTTTATTTTCCATTAGATAGTTTGAAAAAATATTTCCATTTGGCATTGGCGAATGCCAATGATACTTCCGAATTGTAGTTTGTTTAATAATGATTCAAAATACACACTTTAATGTGGGATTTCCACTTGAAAGTTAACAAAACCGCGACACGTGTTTCGCTATTTAATAACATCTTCAGCGTCACACGTGTCGCAGTATTGTAAACATTCAAGTGGAGATCTCGCGTTAAAGTGTGTTTGTTGAATACGTTATAATTGACTTTCATCCAAGTATTGGTTACTTTTATCATATTTCTGTTAAGGATATTTGAAAATCAAAATTGCTGCGATTATGAATGAAAAATAACTTTCTTGTTTTCTCTACAGCAAATAGATTTTGAACACTTGAAATGCATTCATTGAGAGAAGACGGACTTTTCTAATAGTGATCTCAATACATTTAGAAATAAAAACAAAGATATCAATTCACTGTACATGTATTAGTTATAAACATATTACCATAACTTCAAAAATCCAATAATTATAATAGAAAATAATATACAGTATTATCAGTTTGTTAACACATCCTAATTTAAGAAAAAAATATAAAAAAATCGCTCTTACAAACTGATAAGCACCAGTTTTTAAAAATTTAAATCACTTTATGTGAATAGTTTCTTTCAGGCACGTACATTGTGATATACTACTAAGTAATGATCATATAATCATCCACAATTTTTATTTGCTAACATAATTTTCAGGGTTATCTAAAATGAGACAGACCTAATATGAATAGATTTCAGGTCTATAAAACTTTGACTTGTTGGTTGGACACATTTGTATCTATTTTTGCATTCAATAATTTGAACTACCTAGAATTATTGAACTTTGGTACATATTTTTCCCAGTTTTTATCGAGCTATGAAAAAAAGGTCTATTTCTATTTCACTTTAAAAAAGTAAAAACCAGGTATCTAAAATATGCCGTCTCACATTCTCAGATAATAGAGCTGATCCCACAAGATTTTTCATTTTGTGATGATGAAATAATCTCAAAATCATTGTGATTTTTATCGTCACAAATATGGAAATAACTTTTTAATTTTCTACAATATCAAAACTATTGAATGTGGAATGAAATAACATAACATACCAAAATTAAATCTCTCAATTCATTTCCCAAATACATAACCATAGAAACTTGTTTGATAACGACAGTATAACAAAAATATGTCATGCGTTTCATCATATTAAAGTATTCTGAGCGAAATCATTTATCTCCACCATTGCTATAATCTATTTAAAAAAAAAAAATGGTGACTGAAGCACTTATACACTTTTTCGTAAATATTAATGCAAAGTTTTTGAACATTCTAGAAAGAATACTTATAGAAGTAGAAGTATTTTCTTAAAATATTCATTACATTTTTTATTACAGTTGATATATTTTTAGATTGTTTAAGAAATAAAACTAAGTTTTGGAGCTACAATCCAAGACTTTGAAATTGGGACTTGCCTCAGTCTGACATTGTATCAACTTTTTTAACTGAATTACTTCCTTTCATAGTCATTTTTTTTATCAATATTTTTGATGAAGCTGAAAGGAAAGTTTTGTTTTTTGCCAGTATAATAACTCCATCACAACGAATTCACATAATGACAATCTAAGATAAAGTGAAATTGAATACCTGAAAAATATGCTGCCCAACACACAATATGTTTACGTAATGGCTAAGATTGATTATTCCAAATATCACATGTTGAATATCCTAACAATAACAGTGTTTTTACAAAACTCACAAATATATGTACAAGGACGTATAACTGTCTCAAAAATGTTTGTTCTTATGCATTCAGCAGTTATTTGTTCTACAGTGTTCTCAGTCTGTCTTAGGCCGATGCTCGTCATTTCATATGTCTACCTTCTGATCTCCCTGCAAAAAACATTTGCTTTCAATTACGTTAATTGAATACATATACATACATACACACACACACACACAAACACATATAAAATTATTCAGTCCTTTTTGAGAGGTCACCATCAATCGCAATAAGAATATTATATATGTTGTGAAAACATAAATATCAAGAATTTACTAATGAGAGACATAAGAGCCCAGAATTGACCGAGTGCAATTTAAAGTCCGAATTGAACCGCATCTTGTGTTTTCAGTAGTTTCAGCTTCGACTTTGGAGACATTTTCAAAGAGCTATCGTTACACAGAGTTTTCAATCTGCCTACACTTCAGGTAGTGACACGCTACAAGAGTTTTCTGACTTGAAGCTGGGCCTCATCTGCCTACTCCCAAACATCAACTGTGACTTTGCCGATCAACCCGGACTTTAGATTATTAGATTGTTGACCGCGGAAACCTTTCTGAACTGAATTGGTATCCCAAGCGTACATCCATTCGCCTTTGATACAATCACAAAGTTTCGGCAAGATCACACTGTTCATTATCATTATGGTAGTTTGAAATAGCGCTGCCTGGTGTTGGTTTCTGTTTTTTCAAGTAATCTTTTGCTGGATGTATATCATATTCTTCTGGACATAATTTGTGTTTTTTCATAAATTGTTTGCCTCTGTTCCTTTGATGCGTTGCCTGCAGTTAAGGCCTCAGTTATGCAGCCCTATTTTGTTCAGGTGCCCTCTCAACGGACAGTGTCCAGTGAGAAGCCCTGTCCCTGCTTTGTTGAAGAAGTTCTTTAGTTTCCTTCTCGGGCAGTCTCCTTATGAAGGATTTTATGCGTATGTTCCTTGGTATGTTTTCCCAGTACTTTCTTTGTTTCCTATAGACCCACTTTTCGAATTTGTTCCATAACAAATTCTTTGGTACTCCCACAGCTGGTACAGGAACTATATATGGAGTTGTAGATCCTTGTCTGGCACACCAATTGGCTTTTTTGTTGCCTGCGATGCCTAAGTGTTCTGGCACCTAGTTTATTGTCAATCTGTTCCGGCAATCTTCACAGCATTCTCAGACCAGTCTTGTTGTCACTTTTGGTTTCGTCAGTGCCCCAAGTGTAGCCTTTCTGTTAATATTGATCCGCTCATTTCGTTTAGGCCTCAAAATAATGTAGCTGTTGAAGTGGTTTTCATTGCTCTCAATATTCCCCATGTCTTTCTGTAGGTGCAAAATACCATCATCAGTGCTACCTCCACCTTTCTTATAACTCCTTCTAGATGTTGGTTCCAGGTCAGCCTGGTTTCTAGTATCACTCCCAGATATTTGACCTTCCCCGACAGATTCATCTTTTCACCCACAAGTAGGCAAAATGAGACCTCAGTGTAGCTATAAATTGAAGATGCTTGGCTTTATAAAGAGAACCACCCTTGATTTCACCAACATCACTGCTATTAAATCTCTTTATTTTTCCCTGGTTAGATCTCGTCTTGATTATTGTTCCACAGTTTGGTCCCCTCATTATTTTACACAAAAAGTGAAACTTGAGGCCGTACAGCACAATTTCCTGCGATATATTGCTCTCAAGATGCGTACATACTATGAATATACTGTATTGGAATGCATTTTGAAATCCTATTCTATTTAATACTTCTATTCAAAATTATCAACGGACTGAGTATCAGCCCTGAGCTTCTCTCCAGAATATCTTTACATGTCCCCAGTCGTTCAACTAGACAGGTGCAAACGTTTTACGTTTCTTTTCACAGATTCAATTATTCATACAACAGCTTTATTCCCAGAACTCTTCGATTAGCTAACTCTTTAAATAACCTTCAAATCTTTAATATATCAGTTTCCCGCTTTAAAAATCATATTCTTCACCTAGCCATCTAATACTCTCTGCTTGTGTTATTGTATTGTGTCTAGTGTTACTTGCCTGTAAGAATTATATTAGTTCATATTGTTATACATTTCAATTTTTTCTTAAATAATCTACTTGTTATCTTTCTTTGAAATTGTATTATTCTTATAATTTACTTTTAATCCACTGTATTGCATCAAGTACTACATAGCACTGTACTACTTATATCTGAATTGGGCTTGCCCGGTATATACATAAATAAAGTTCTTGAAAACATATTATATATGTTCACTCACATAAGTGCACGCTCTGAAACACATATGCCTACACATACACACTTGTCCACTTATTCTTTTTCTTTTCAAAACTCTCTAAAATGTTCCTTACTTTCTCGTTCAAACTGTCTCCGTGCTTCTTCCCTCTCAGCTGCATCAAAATACCACAGTGTAATGGCATAACGAGTACTGTGGGAGGGTTGCACTTCATGAGGGTTTCTTCTGTCAGACCAAAAGAACAGCAATCTATCAAATATCGGCTCAATATCGGCAACCTGTAAAAAATGTTATGAAGATTAGTAAGTTTTTCAATGAGTTTGAATCTGGTCGAGCCCCACTTACGAAAATTTCAAGAGAACGAGTTATAAGAATATTCAAAGACTAAAATTTGGTAGACATTTAATGATTCACTGCAGTTCCAAAGAAACACTTGGTAGATATTGATCTGGATAATGTGGGAGATTGTTAAAAAATACTTTTATAGCTTTTAAGGAATATGTAACAAAATTTCAGTCAAGTTCAAATATTCACAATTGCATTTTTGAAAAGACTGAGTTTGATGAAACTTTTTGGCCCCACTCCTAACCAACGAACTACGAAAATTAATTCACATTCATAAGTGTAGCTTTATACTTCTCCCTCATACATAAAACATGGAAAACGTCTGAAGGAACAATGAAAGTAATCGACTCCAATATAGACTACAAATATATGTAGATAATCACGGAAGTTTCTTTCAGAACTAGAAGAAAAATACGTAAGAAACAACTTAGTATGTATGGGATCTGTTAAAAAAATAAGGTGGATTTCAATCTCTCAGATATACACTTGTGCCGGCATTTTTTTCCAATCCTTGAAGCAGTTATGATATGCACTTTTTGGTTTGCCCTTGAGCTCACTCAGTGTTTCGGTTTTCATCTTCTCAATCGCCGCAAAACGCCGTTCTTTCATGGGCCTTTTCAATCTTGGGAACAGGGAAAAGTCGCAGGTGGTCAAATCTGGTGAACCCGGTGGCTGAGACACGATTATGGTGTTGTTTTTGGCCAAATTACGAACAAGCATTATCGTGATGCAGAAGCCATTATTTTTCTACCATACCGGACGTTTTCATCCTATTGTTTTTCGCAAGCCGGCGCATAACTTCAAGATAATACTCCTTACTGACCGTACGATCATGTGGCAAGAATTTAACAGTGATTAGAGATAACCCAGCAAAATCTAGACATTTGATCGAACCTGGCATGCTTCTTTGGTCTTGGCTCTTCTGGGCTCCTCCATTGGAACGATTGGACTTTGGTTTCGATGTCATAACCAATATTATCATGATTCGTCACCAGTTATGACCCTTTTAAGCAAATCTGAATCGCTGTTGTCATCATTCAACAATTCCTGGGCGATGCCCATGCGACGGTTTTTTTGGTCAAAATTTGAACATTCAACTTATTTTTTCAACAGACTTCAAACATTCATTATACAATCGAATTAGAATCTTCACAGGATCACTACATAATGTAATATATATTTTCATTTACAGGAAAATGGGGAATGTTCCTCCTGACTAAAATCAAGTAGTTTTCATAAAAGAGCTCTAAAACAACGCATTTTAAACTTATCATTTCAACCTTTATCTTTAAAAAATTATTTAAATACTTTAAAAAAGAGGAATGAAATAATGCATTCAACATTTAAAGGGATTTGTTTCTATTTCACCATTTGGCAACATCGGTTATAGCTAATAAAGGACAATGAATCTGTTACCTGTATGAGACAAACAAAGATGACATATTTCAGAGGCGTGCTATTCTGTTTACTTATGTTTAACCGAAATTAAATACCTGGGATTCATGTTAGACAACTGTTTATCTTATGATGCACACTTCAAATACATAACTAAAAAAATATCAAAGAAACTTAACTTTTCTACTCGAATCTCTTATCACTTGTCAGTTTCTTCCAAGGTCACTATATATAACACAATCATTCAGCCTCATTTCGAATATTGTAGTACATTACTATATGGGTGTGATCAAAACAAAATTTCGACTTTACAAAAACTAAAAAATCGTGGAATGAGTCATATTAAAATGTAATCATTATACAAGCATAAAGTTTATGCTTGACACATTAAAATGGTTATCAATAAAAGATAGGTTCTATAGATCAGCAATGATATTCATTTTCAAGACTATTAATAATATGTTACCATCTTATTTTGATGAATTCATTACTTATCGTGATAGTACTCACAACTACGAGACAACACAATTTTGTAGGAAAAAATTGAATGATGCAGAACATCATTAGTCTTAAATCTTAACATTTATCATCATGTATCAGTATGTTTTAAATTGTTAATATATTCTTATCTAGGTTAGTTAACTTTGAATTTTGTTTCCTTTTCTACTTTATTTCTCAACATTGTTAGGTTACAGTCATATGTATGACTCTAGTTATTAGTTATTATTATTGTTGTTCATGGACATATTATTATTGTTTACTGATTTATTATTATTATTGTATGTATATTAGGATTTCCTAAATAAATGTATTCATTCATTCATTTAAGGATTCAGCACGCCCAAAAACATAAGAATTACGCAAAATAAAACAGCCCTCAATATTTTTTTGCAGACTTGTTTAAATTTTCATTTCAGTTATTAAATTATTCCTACAAATACTTACTTTATCTTCGCACCATCCTTCAGGAAATATCCTCAGCAGACCGCCATTTTTTTTCACATCCCAGTTGAGATTAAGGTAGTAGATGGCTGTAATACACCTGCCGTCTTTGTTTGGATTATCAACATGTTTGACATAATGTGAACCAAGCCCTGGATAGCATGCGATCATTGCCTGAAATATACATACAATGAAAATTGGAAAATTTTTATTCAGAAAACTAAAAACATAAATTGAATGGAATTGGATTTGTACTCGAAACGGTTTACAAAACTGCAACACATGTTTCTCTGCATAATTATTATTATTATTACTCTTTATCAGCAAATAATGCTCTTCATAGTACAGTTAGTCACTTATAAAATACAAAACAATAAAAAATATACATAAAATTGAAAACAAGTCACATTTTAAAAACAAGAAACTAGAAAACAAGACGAATTATTGATGACGATTACTTGAATCAATTTATGGTGCTTTTTTAGAAAAGATGAGTTCCTAAATTCAACAGAAAATTTCAGATGGTTTACTTTACCCAACAGATACAGGCCAACGTTTAAAATGGGCCAAAAATTAATCTATGGTAATCAATCGGTGGACTCATCAGTGAAATTAAGAACTCGTCTGAAGTACACTCACATTGGTTCACCAGAAAACACTCAGAAGTCCCAACTTCTTCACAAAAGGGTATAAACTGACTAAATACAAAAAATATGTGTCTTTTATCAATTTTTTTGTTGGTTATTATTTTGACAAGAGACATTTTTCTTGTGGTCCAACAAGAAATAGAAATACTTACAAATTATAGAGTCTCAACAATCTCATGATAATTTATCGAGTTCACAGATGAATATTTCATTATCTAATATCATTTAGCCTCAAAAGTAATGAACCAAGTTGTACAAGTTCAATTTAAATACCGAAATTAACATATTTTGAGAAATCTTCAACAAAAATTTCAAATGCTTGAACCATTTGCTTATCTAGACCTAGTTTATGTCAGATATTTGTAATAGAAAATTGAAAATTATAGTTTGAGATGAATGCAACTCATTAAAAAATTGAGACTACATCTTTGATTTTTGCATTTATTTTTCATGAAGAAGGAATTCAAAAAACCTCAGACCTCAATATTCTTGGAATTTAATAATGACAATTTAACAAAATTCAGTATTGGCATCAAATATTCCAAAACAAAATATTGACTATATTGAACCATAAAAAAAATTGATAACGACAGTATAACAAAAATATGTCATGCGTTTCATCATATTAAAGTATTCTGAGCGAAATCATTTATCTCCACCATTGCTATAATCTATTTAAAAAAAAATGGTGACTGAAGCACTTATACACTTTTTCGTAAATATTAATGCAAAGTTTTTGAACATTCTAGAAAGAATACTTATAGAAGTAGAAGTATTTTCTTAAAATATTCATTACATTTTTTATTACAGTTGATATATTTTTAGATTGTTTAAGAAATAAAACTAAGTTTTGGAGCTACAATCCAAGACTTTGAAATTGGGACTTGCCTCAGTCTGACATTGTATCAACTTTTTTAACTGAATTACTTCCTTTCATAGTCATTTTTTTTTATCAATATTTTTGATGAAGCTGAAAGGAAAGTTTTGTTTTTTGCCAGTATAATAACTCCATCACAACGAATTCACATAATGACAATCTAAGATAAAGTGAAATTGAATACCTGAAAAATATGCTGCCCAACACACAATATGTTTACGTAATGGCTAAGATTGATTATTCCAAATATCACATGTTGAATATCCTAACAATAACAGTGTTTTTACAAAACTCACAAATATATGTACAAGGACGTATAACTGTCTCAAAAATGTTTGTTCTTATGCATTCAGCAGTTATTTGTTCTACAGTGTTCTCAGTCTGTCTTAGGCCGATGCTCGTCATTTCATATGTCTACCTTCTGATCTCCCTGCAAAAAACATTTGCTTTCAATTACGTTAATTGAATACATATACATACATACACACACACACACACAAACACATATAAAATTATTCAGTCCTTTTTGAGAGGTCACCATCAATCGCAATAAGAATATTATATATGTTGTGAAAACATAAATATCAAGAATTTACTAATGAGAGACATAAGAGCCCAGAATTGACCGAGTGCAATTTAAAGTCCGAATTGAACCGCATCTTGTGTTTTCAGTAGTTTCAGCTTCGACTTTGGAGACAATTTCAAAGAGCTATCGTTACACAGAGTTCTCAATCTGCCTACACTTCAGGTAGTGACACGCTACAAGAGTTTTCTGACTTGAAGCTGGGCCTCATCTGCCTACTCCCAAACATCAACTGTGACTTTGCCGATCAACCCGGACTTTAGATTATTAGATTGTTGACCGCGGAAACCTTTCTGAACTGAATTGGTATCCCAAGCGTACATCCATTCGCCTTTGATACAATCACAAAGTTTCGGCAAGATCACACTGTTCATTATCATTATGGTAGTTTGAAATAGCGCTGCCTGGTGTTGGTTTCTGTTTTTTCAAGTAATCTTTTGCTGGATGTATATCATATTCTTCTGGACATAATTTGTGTTTTTTCATAAATTGTTTGCCTCTGTTCCTTTGATGCGTTGCCTGCAGTTAAGGCCTCAGTTATGCAGCCCTATTTTGTTCAGGTGCCCTCTCAACGGACAGTGTCCAGTGAGAAGCCCTGTCCCTGCTTTGTTGAAGAAGTTCTTTAGTTTCCTTCTCGGGCAGTCTCCTTATGAAGGATTTTATGCGTATGTTCCTTGGTATGTTTTCCCAGTACTTTCTTTGTTTCCTATAGACCCACTTTTCGAATTTGTTCCATAACAAATTCTTTGGTACTCCCACAGCTGGTACAGGAACTATATATGGAGTTGTAGATCCTTGTCTGGCAAACCAATTGGTTTTTTTGTTGCCTGCGATGCCTAAGTATCCTGGCACCTAGTTTATTGTCAATCTGTTCCAGCAATCTTCACAGCATTCTCAGACCAGTCTTGTTGTCACTTTTAGTTTCATCAGTGCCCCAAGTGTAGCCTTTCTGTTAATATTGATCGGCTCATTTCATTTAGGCCTCAAAATAATGTAGCTGTAGAAGTGGTTTTCATTGCTCCCAATATTCCCCATGTCTTTCTGTAGGTGCAAAATACCATCATCAGTGCTACCTCCACCTTTCTTTTAACTCCTTCTAGATGTTGGTTCCAGGTCAGCCTGGTTTCTAGTATCACTCCCAGATATTTGACCTTCCCCGACAGATTCATCTTTTCACCCACAAGTAGGCAAAATGAGACCTCAGTGTAGCTATAAATTGAAGATGCTTGGCTTTATAAAGAGAACCACCCTTGATTTCACCAACATCACTGCTATTAAATCTCTTTATTTTTCCCTGGTTAGATCTCATCTTGATATTGTTCCACAGTTTGGTCCCCT